CGCCAAACTGAATTATATTTCCGTATCGCCGAAGGGAGTTATTTCGTAACTGTTCTTTTCTTTCCTGGTTTTGCTATTCTATAACGCTACTGACTATGAGTCTATAGTGATTTTACACTTACAGCACAGACATACCCCAATGCAATACCTTCCTTACTAACGTGCGAGTGGTAAAAATAGAGGAATAACCGTTCGTTAATACTGATTATTCAACTTGTTGATTATGACTTGATGAGATCTGCGGGTTAATGCTACTTTTAGTACGTACTTATAGTTAATTTTCATTATAAAAATTTCAAATGTTGGTTGTTTTTTTTGTTCTGTATCTCGCGCCAAATTTGCAACTGAAAGTCTTCTATTGAGTATCAAACATTTTATTGAAACTAATTCAGAAATTCCAAAAAAAGCACCAAAATCTACACTGATAATACCGACATAATAATTTGAAAATCACCGCATGACGTCACCTAAACAGCCATAACTCCGTCTACATGCGCAATATAATTTTGTATCGATAATAATAATAATAATAATAATCGATATCCAAAGTAGGCACTTGCGCTCGTATTTGACAAGGCAAACGTCATCTTTTTCGAGGAATTTCACTTAGTCGCTTATAATCGACTAAATAAAAACAAGTTAAAAAGTAATCGTAAACGATTTACATAAAGCGCATTTCCACTTGCATTCATTTCCCATTTATAAGATGCAACTTCTGTTAAAATCGTAAAAATCCGGCCACAAATATGAAAGATAGCGTTGCACATGGACAATCCATTTTTGACGTGTTACTTCAATTTCAGTTTATGAGAAGAATTTCATTTCAATGCTTTTCTAAATAAGAAAGTTGGAACTGCGCATGCGTAAACCTAAATTTTAAAACTAATGTTAGATTTTCCTATGTATCAAATTTCATTTAAATTCTTCCATAAATAAAATAGTTGGCACTGCGCATGCGCAAAACCAAATTTTGAAATTGGCGTTTGATTTTCCTTTATCCCAAGTGCCTATGTATCAAATTTCGTTTAAATTCTTCCATAAATAAAAAAGTTGGCACTGCCCATGCGCAAAACCAAATTTTGAAATTGGCGTTTGATTTTCCTTTATCCCAAGTGCCTATGTATCAAATTTCGTTTAAATTCTTCCATAAATAAAAAAGTTTGCACTGCGCATGCGCAAAACCAAATTTTGAAATTGGCGTTTGATTTTCCTTTATCCCAAGTGCCTATGTATCAAATTTCCTTTAAATTCTTCCATAAATAAAAAAGTTGGCACTGCGCATGCGCAAAACCAAATTTTGAAATTGGCGTTTGATTTTCCTTTATCCCAAGTGCCTATGTATCAAATTTCGTGTAAATTCTTTCGCAAATAAAAAAGTTGGCACTGCGCATGCGCAAAACCAAATTTTGAAATTGGCGTTTGATTTTCCTTTATTCCAAGTGCCTATGTATCAAATTTCATTCAAATACTTTTATAATTAAAAAAGTTTGCAATTCGGTTTATAAATGGTCGAGATGCGAAAAGGGCACTGTGAATTTTGAATCGATTCGATTCAACTTTTGGCATTGCGTATTATATGGCTAAAGCTATGCCCATATTGAATTTCATGCAATTCAGTTCATAACTAACGGAGATGTAAAAGCGATCGAACATTTCTAAACAAAGTTATCATTCACACGGACAGATGGATGGACAGACAGACAAAGGAACAGACGGACAGACCAGCATGCAGACGACAGATAGCAATGCAAAATTATAAACGATCTCTAGGATCGTTAATAAACGGCAAAAGTGTAAAATTATGGAACATGTAAAAAACGGTTTTTTGTTTTTTTTACAATAACTTTTTTTGTAAGCGGTACAGAAAAAATTCCTTCCTTGGTACAAGACTCGACACCATAACGAACCAAATAGCGAAAAAAGTAGAACAATAGCTCTTAAGATAAAGAACTAGTAGCGTCGCAAATTTAGCGGACGGACGGACGGACGGACGGACGGAAAGTGGCCACAATAGCGCATTTTTTTTTATTTTTGTGGAAATGCGCTAAAAAGGCGACATTAGCCATACATTTACCTAATATAAATATACTAAAATCTGTGCTTTACGTTTAGTGCACAGGTATGTACTCTCATTGACAAAAGTAATGATAGCCTAAACGTTAAAATTAAAATCTACAGCATAAGCAACCAACACGCGTATCACATCGGGCTCCGTCGATCGATCACGATGCGTGACAAAAAGTCATCACCTTTATACTCATAGTGAGGCCGGAGTTCTCTACAATTCTAAAGTCGTTTCGAGTAAACTTTCCCACCTATACTATTGTTTAAAAGTATTTAAACAATGCCTATACCTACGGAACCAGAGCGATTGAAGAAGTTGAAAATGCCACCAATCGAGAGGAAACGAGATATAAGCAAAGAGGATACTCTTTGATATAAGTAATCGAATAGTACTATCAACCCGCGCAGGTGAGCCAAACCGTAAATAAAAGTTAAAAAAAACAATCATTCAAGTAACCTAAAGGATGGGACGGGATGGTTGTGAACTCGTTTCGGCACTTTTGTAAAAGGAGTCCCGTATACTACAGTGCAGCGTGAATAATAGAATGAATACCACTAACAGTAACACAGATCTGTGACAGTAATAGGTACCTATTTACAATCCTAGAAATGTTCTTCACAAATATTGCTCTCGAAAACGTGCTGATGCAAGGTGTGAACACAGAGTTTACAACTCTGTGGGTGTGAAGCACACTACACGGACCTCGATAATGATCAGCTGTTCGCGTAATGTATCAAAATCAAAAGCTACACATGAAACGAAATTTAGGTACATTTCACAGGTGGCGACTATGTTATATTTTTAAAATGGTTTTCTTTAATGATACTTAATTTTATTCATTTTATAGGTTGTCATATAGATCCATTGCCGTAGCGATAGTATCCTTTAGAGTTTAGACAATGAATGGTGCTATAAATGGATTTCGTTTATAGAAAGTGATGAATCTGTTTGTACTAGGTAAAATGTATGTAATTTAAGTATTACCCGTAAAAAATAAATATATTAAATGTATATGTAGGTACACCACTCGCTGCGCGTATGATCGTCCGCCATATTAAGAAGCCTACAGGATCCTAGCCAATAATACATAAACTCCTTCCATACAGCTCCACCATGCAAACAAGTCTCTCGGAAAATATGCGAACTAATTGTGGCGGGAAAACGTTAAGCCAATACCGACTACGCAGGCGTGTACAGTCCGTAAAAAATGTGACAGTGACACATTTATAGAGGAAATGTTTATAAAATCCGCTTGTTGCACCAATTTTATCCGTACGGCAAGAAAAGAGAAACAAACCTGTGCATTCCGAAGTCACAAATGTTATTAAAAGGGTCATGAAATTCTTCGACAAAGAGAAAGCTGCCAATGTGTAAGATATTTCCTTTGGGAAAGGGTACAGAGCTAGCTGCCCCTGCGACCTGCGACGCAAATCAACAAAATTCATAACCAAGATTAGGTAATTGTGTATTCCTCTGAAATAAATAGATAGATACTTTTACAAATTGTTATCCTGTAGATCGAAGCCAAACTTGCGGATGATAGGACATGGAAATTTCCTTCAAAGAAGCGACGAAGTGTGACTTCCTACAAAATAAGATTGGATAATTCTGAGAGGTGTCTTGAAGAATGAAATTTACATGACCCAGAAAATAATCAAGATCAATAATTTAGTTAATAAAATTAAGGATAAAACTGGCTACAGTGGAGATAACGTTACACTAAAGCGGCTGTAAATACAAAAAATGTCGCAATAAGCGAAAATTAGGTATAATGGAACGAAGAATGAAAGAAAACGATGCTTTAGGGAAAAACATGAACCCGATCACATTTTTAGACGAAACCTACATCCATCCATTGTATGTGGAGTGCTTGCTAGCAGAAGATGACACTGGTGTATATAAAACGAAGCAGGACGAAATAAATTGGAATGAATTGAAAATGCACATCTCATCATCAAATCGAAAAGTAAGTCGGGAGACAACATAAACCACCTTAAGAGATTGGAAGAAGACATGTTTCAACGCCAAGGATTGTTAGATGAAGCTCCTTCCATACAGCTCACAGCAGATATTTCACGTAAACACTGGTACATCAGACGAAGGTCCTGAAATCAGTGAAGAGGATCTTGTTTAATTTGTTTTAAATACACACTGCTAGGGCATTCTTGATTACCTATAGTAATAACTATTTTGATATTTTGGTTTGTAATTCTTGTACTAAATTTTTTTCTCCAGTTTCCAAATGTAGCCACATAAAATAAATGCAAAATACAACAAGTTTAAATTTACCGCCAAACACTATTCCCACAGACTGTACTTCTAAAATACAGCGACACCAGACCATCGCCTTCTTGACGGACTTGTTTGCTTGGCTTCACTGTAGTCTTTTATTTCAATGGTTTATACTTTATACAATCATTATTATCATTATTTGACTAAGGCATTGAATAAACTTAATTTTTTATTCAATGACTAAGCTCAGGAAGGTTTCGTTGGGTTAGCAACGCTCAATAAACCTGTGTTTACTATTAGCTATGATTTTTGATAGTGAACTATTTAATGATAATGATTGTTAGTATAAATTAGGGATGTAACCGAAGTGGTTATATCTGAACCGAATTCGGAAGCGGAGTTTTTAAATTTGGTTTATCGGAACCCAAATCGGAATCAGAACCGGAATAGGAATCGGAACCATAAAGAAGAGACATGTCACATCTTAAACTACAATACTAATATGTAAATAACAAATTAAGTGACTCGAAAAGAAGCAAATTATACTCAAATACTCAAGGAACACAACAAGTGAAAAGGTAATCAACAGAGAAGGCACGAGGCGAGGAAGGTCCCTGCGCGACAAGTATAAAGGTATTTTTACGCTAACGCACTGATTGTGGCCGCACCGACCCTGTCCATAAACCTCCGATATAACATCCGATTAAAATTTGTCGGAACCGAAATCGGAATCGAAACTGCAAAATCAATCGGAAGTTCCGCTCTTTCGGTCGGAACCGAAGCTCCGTTACATCCCTAGTATAAACCCACCATAAATGTCCAACACATAAAAATTGTTCAAAGCTCCGTTAGTTGTTTCGCAGATGGGACCAGAATTTGGACCGAACCGAAGTACGTATCTGGGGGGTTTAGATTTAGTAATTTCTTTAAAACAATTTAAAAGTTTGTGCAAATTATGACGCTTCCTGCGCAAATTCAGTGTAAAAGGAACTTTAGTTGGGAAGAAAATGTAAGTAATTGCCTCATACCTTTCAATGTCCTCAACGCCAATTATTGCGGCTTTAACTGCCTTATCCCCTACAAAAAATTGTTTTTAGTGTTTAACGTTAATACATACGTAGGTACTTACTGCTCAGATCATACGGTTTTCCTTTCAAATCTGCCATTAGTTTAGTTGCATCGAATTGTCCAATTGATGATGTTGGATCAACATTGAAACGCTCAAAAAACATATCAGTCTCCACAAGCTTAAATCCGCATCTGTCTTCCATGATTAATAAAAAAATGTTTGTCTGATGAAAATTTACCGTAACAAAGCGTAGCGCAATTCTTCGGTGGTTTTCTCATAAGCACCTCTGGCTGAAATTTCTTTAACAGGTTCTTTACTAGCCTTTTTCCTGCAGCGCTTGCAAATGCGGAGAATATGTTTCATTATTTGTGCAATGGAACACGTTATTTTGGGAGCTTCATAATCAGTTATACGTTTTGAAGCATACAGAGTTTGCGTGTTGACATCAGCGTACGTATCGTTAATAAGTGCCAAAAACATGTTCTAAAATAAATGATGTAGCTGTGACAACTACTCATCAGTTGCTGCATACCAGAATAATGATAATAATCACAAACACGTAAACAAGATAGAAAACTGGAGCGACATACTGATTGGCGGCCTGTAGTTGTGCATAGTCGAAATCTCCTAACACAGTACGCATTAATGTGAACATTGAAACTCCAACATTGTGGTACTCGGCAATCTGGAACAATAATTTAAGCGCAAAGTAATTATATTTTGTAAATACTCACTTTGTTACCAAATGCCAAATGTGCAAATATTCCAAACGCAGCAAAAATTATTGCAAAAATTAGCCCAAATGAAATAATTTCTGGTAGACACTGAAAGTGAGTAGCTAAGAAAATTATACATACACATGCACAATTACACAATAAGTGAAATGCGTAGTTTAATGCGTAGGAGCATTACAACATCTAGCAATTCGTACAAAATTTGGAGTGAAAGTGTAGAAGTTCAGGGCGGTAAGCATCTGAAAGGCTCTCTCAACAAATAGAACACTACGAAACTAGCAAGGAGAAATATCGTGTAGGATTGTGTACGTGTAGAACAGACTCCAAGTCTAATGTTAGTAGTAGTTGGGTTATAGCAATCATTGATAATTGTGGTTTTGGAAAGTCTGAAACACTGACACAGTACCGAGTTTCCTACATTTGAGCTAAAGTTTAGGATATACATAAATGTCAAACGAATGGTTCTTTTACATCACTGTGTATATATAGTTAGTTTAAATCGCGCGCCAGAAGTTTGTTAAGGAGGAGATCAACGAGCAAAAAAAAGAGGAGTTAAGCAATAAGCATCTGTAGTGTAGTAACCTTATATTATATACAGTGAAGTTTTTTAAAATGCGAACAGGAGTTTGCATGCAATGTAATTTCGTCGAGGGATGTAAGGTGCGTAATAGACTTCTCTATCGTGGTGTCTTAAATTGAGTAGGATACAATTGGCTATCTTTGTTATTATTATACATACTTACAAATTCGGTTAAACTGGCAAAGTTTACGTGTAGTCTTTGATGTTGATGCATATTCCGATGCGATATTTTGAAAATAATAATTCGTTTCGTAGTAGATAATTGGAAAAATGTGAAAATCGTTTCAAATAAAAGTAGCAAGATTCGATCGGATAAATTCAATGGATATTCAATAGAAATTTTTTTTTCAAAATGGCGGTTTTCGACATATTGACATCAACTTATCCTTGTTTTGAATGGACGCCATATTGAATTTTTAAGTCACTCCATAGAGAAAAAATTTCAAAACCAGTGATACTAAACACTTAGTATTTCATTTGGGAATTAACCTTGCATTTTTCCTCGAATTTTACAATGTATTTCTTATGGCAATAATTCCATGGTCGATTGTGATTGAAACCAAATTCGTTCGTTAGTTGTCTCGCTCGCTGGTTTTATATTTTTGTCTCTATCGAGTGACGTAAAAGTCAAATATGGCGTCCATGTAAAATAAGGAAGTTGATGTCAATATCTGGAAATCCGCCATTTTGCAATTTTTTTTCTACACCTATTGAATTTATCCCATCGAATCTTGCAACTTAAAAAATGAACGGTTGAACAGAATTTTTGGTTCATTAATTTAACATGTCAATTACGTGGGTGGAAGTAACAGTCAAGAAGGCCGTATTTTCTTCTGTTATTGAAATATTTTCAAAGAGTAATTTCGTTCGAATTTGTTCAAAATGTGATAATTGTAAGTATGTAATTCCTCTTGAAATGGCGGATGGTGGCAATTATTCATTTTAGAGAACTTATCTGAACGTTTATTGAGCGAAATTTCGGGTTGTGATTTCTAAAAGTGACAGCGTGACAGTTCCCATTATTGACTACTGGTTAATAATGACCACATTATTAACTACTATGAACAACTGGCGAGAAAGCCTGCTTTACAAGTGGAAAAAAGGTTAATAACAACAAATGAGTACTTCCTCGTTACTTCCCATATACTTCCTCGAACTTCCCGGTACTGCCCTGGACTTCCAGTACTTCCCCGAACTTCCCCGTACTTCCCTGTACTTCCTCATAACTTCCTCCATTCTGTACAATTACTTCCCCTGGTGTTTACCCCCTGGACGGAAGTCGGCCATTGTGGCTCTTTTATTATGCGTGGATCTTAGATCATATACAGAGTGTTACATGGCCATATGAAAAAAAAATGGGTGATAGAGGGGATCAAGACAAGCACTTTTTCCAAATAAACCGAGGGTCCAGCGTGTTTCGTTTGTGAGCCACCCCCAAAGAAGCGGTGAAATTTGGATTTCTTCTTTAATTTTTTTCTCAGCAACCATAACAGTTACAAAGATGGGTGGCACGTCTTTGAATAGGTTTTCGGGTATGCCCTATCCGATTTTGGGAACAATTTTTCAAAATTCCTGCCACGAAAGAGCGCACCCCTCCCTTAGGGGCGCGAAAAAAATTCTGATTTCGACGAAATTTGGTATCTGGGGGTTTTTGAACATGCAAATGACTAATCTGGAATTAGTTTTTGAAAATTCGAAAAAAAAGTTCCACTGCAATTCTTGGCCGGACAACGAAAATGGAGAGAATTCCACGAAATTTGTTGTGTACATACTTGAATTGTCAACATTAATTTATGTTATTAGTAGCAATAGCCATGAAATTTGCGGGTATACCAAAAGCTTAATAATAGTATATTAAGTATGGAGAACGGTAAGGGATTTTTACCGTTCGAAGACAATTGTTTGGAGAAGGAGCGAAGCGACGACTCCAATTATTGTCTGAAAACGGTAACCCTTAACGTTCGACGTGCTTATAACATTTTTTGCGCGATCGAAATTAAAATTATGCGACCAATATAAATATGCACCAAGAAATTAACGAGCAGAATATTATCGAAGTGGTATGGTGTACATTACTAGGTAACCAGTTTATTTGTCAAAATTGAAATTAATAATTTCATAAAATTGTGCATGTGTCTGATGTAGTTTGCTAGCTTTGCACTTCCTTTATGACTTTATGAGCGAGGTATTCGCCGGTGGCAGAATGGTATGTCGAAGATTCTTTACAGAATAAAATTGTAATTGGAATGTGTTAAGAAAAACGAAAGCATATCTTCAAACACATTGCTCTCTATTGCTTCAGGTTTTTGAAGAACGTGTTCTTTCCTATACCCATGGTATCGGACATCGGTCAGAAACGACCGATCGCGCAAAAAAACATGTAAAAACAGTTTTGTATGCACATTTTAATTCTGAACAGCTTGAAACTACAGTTTTTTCTGTAAAATGTACAGAGAGCAGGATATTGCATAAAACTAATTTCCCATGTTCCTACTTACCGTGCACACACCACCCGGTATATCAAAGTTGTATAGAATTTTATGGTCTATAATTTCGAATAACAATATTCTTTTCTAAAGTGAACCATTAAAAAGATATGAGTGAAAAGCTAAGAAACCAAACAAATTTCGGGCGTTTTGGGGGGTGGTACGGGGAAAGCGCAAGGGGTGGGTGGTCGAAAACTTAGATTCTTAACCACCAGATGACTGTCTATGACATGCCCGAAAAATGAAGCAATGAAGCATGGGTATAGGAAATTGGAATTTGGTAACCATTAACTGTTGACATATTCGGTCAGACCATAAAACCAAATATTGTTGTTTCATATTTGTCGACAGAGGTGTAAAATACAATTGTACTAATAATGGAGTAGGCTAAGATCGTCATCTATAAGCACCAAATGTGGGATGCAGTGCCGCTAACATTGTTGCTTATTCTCGTGAAGCAAAGGCAAATCACCAAGTTGTGCTTTTACAGCTGGCCCTTTGGGGTGTAACATTTAAGACGTGCGACCTTTTTAAGAAGCTCACATCAACCAACATTAGGTACCCAAAATGTCTGGCATGATCTTGATTCCTTGTAGGTACAAAAATAAATTGATTACGACAATAAATAGGATAACAGTTTTAAGTAAAATTTAAAATTGATTACCTTAGTGAAGGTGAGATTCAGTTGTCCCATTATTTTACTAACTCTAAGATATTTAAAAAGTTTCATGTACACAAAGAATATAAGTCCTCCTGCAAAGCCATCTTGGATCACTTGAGCCAGGCTGGCTGATTCCAAATTAACGTAGTTGTCAGTAGAATGTAGTTTTTTGGAAGCGAAATTAAACAAAAGCATTCTTGCTAGTGCACTACTATACATACCAAGCGCAGTCTTAAAAAAAACGTATTACTAGAATAGAATTTAATATGAAGGCGTACATACCAATATCATGAATAGGTTTATATAACTCCAGGGATTAAGGAAATATTTATTCTCCATGAGTTTATATTCCTTGCTTGTCAAGAAACCAAGAAAACCTAAATATACAGCGACTAGAACTTGGCATGTCGCAACTACAAAATCCATAAGTCGAAGAAAGTGTATTAACTTTACCGAACGGAACATGGTAGATGGTATAACTCCACCAGTTGGTGCCATTTCAAATACAACTCTAAAAATATGATTAGTGCACCTAATGCAACGAGAATTGTTATTAGTCTAGTACATCTAATTTCGTTTACATGGACCATCCAGAATAAAATTTCATTTACAATGTAAGTACTACCATTGTGCAGGTACTACATATCATAGGTATAATAATTTAATGATTTTAATTGTAATGATTTGATTTTTAGTTTAAAATTAGCATTGATATAAGGATATACCTAACAAATGCGTATTTTTGTCTATTTCAATCCTTGTAGGATGACAATGACTTATTTGAATTAAAACTTGATCTACATCGTTCTGAAGGGAATTTTATAAGCTTTAAGTTTGTTATCTAGTATTCTTCCATAGAAACTAAAAATGAAGAAGATATTCCTACAAAAATTAAAAAAATGTACCTTTTGGGTGGTTTTTGGGAGGGTGTCGCCCCTGCAGGGGCAGGAACTTTTACAAAGTTAAAAAGCAACCCAAGTCATAGTGCTTTTGCTTTAAGGGATTTTGTTTCTGTTCAAACTTAGGTGTACTGGACTATGTGCGTTTCACTACGACAATGTATAAAGACGAAGCAGTCGCCGAGAAATATTGCATTCTAAAAAGATTGATTCTCACTGTTGTACTATTGCAGGTATTTCCTTTCGGTAACTGCTCTGTTCGGACCAAATTTCAAATGTCAAACGTGTAATATTTTGCAGGTAGGTAAAAATAACATACGTACTTTGCAATACAAAATAAATTCACATTCGCATTATAAACGGTAAACTCGAGGAATAGAGCCCTAGTCCCTCTATCGATCCATAGGTCCTTTCTCAAATCTTGCAAAATAATGTGCGTGTAATTCTTTGAATTTCCTGATAGTAATTTTATTATAAACCCTCCAGTGTGATAACTTGACACTGAACCATAATATGACAGACCACCGGTTGAGCTGGAGTAGACCTTTCTCCTGGAACAGGAAATGATTAATAGGAACCACATTTAGAGATTTCAAATACCTATTTTTCTCCGAAACGGTACGGTCTTCGTTTCCAGATGAGAAAGAACCATAGCACCACTTTGTTATGCGTTCTAGAATAGCATTTGAATCGCATGTACGATTACCAACTCTCAGCTAAAGAAAAACAATTAACTCATTTTAAATTTATGACAGAGCCTTGAAAAATTCCACTTTATTGCATAAATCCATAAATTTACCATAGGCCGCTATATTGGCAACAGAAAATTCCAACAGTTCGTTTAAGGAAACTATACAGAGTGTTACATATACCTAAGTATGTAAAACAAGTATAAATTGTGCACGTCTTGTTGTTACAATATGCGCTATGTTTGTCTTTACTAGAAGCATCTGTGGTTAAAATTTAAAAAAAAATCTCCGTAAATATGAAAATTGACATCGCGCAGTTTGCGAATGAGCACATTAATCGTTATTTTTTTCTTGGTTGAGGTGCCAGAGCTATTAGCTACCGAATGCAAAAAGAATGAACTACATATCTTGAAAACTGTAGAAGTAGTTAAGGCCTCGGACGGACAGACGTAAAAATACAGGTTGTTAATTAATGCCATACAGATATTTCAAGGGGTGGTAGCACCCATAGAAATAAGAAAAAAATGCAAACATGTGCGTGGTCTAAAGGACGCCATTTTTATTATACAGGGTGGAAAAGTTTCAATTTTGTTCTTGTATTTTGCGTTTTCTCTCTTATGATCTGGGATAATTGTTTCAAATTTGATAGATCAATTATTTTTTAGAATCTCTACAATAAAGTATCAAAATAGTTGGTCGTAATATACAGGATGTTGCATTTTCTTTGTCACCTGGTATAACCGAGGGTATAACGAAAACGAAGGCCATGCATATATTTGCATTTTTTCTTATTTTGACGAGCATCGCCCCCTGAAATACCTGCATGAAATTAATTAACACACTGTATAGAGGTTCATTTATTACTAGCGAACTTCGTACCGCCTATCGGACAATCTCCCGCTAATTCTAATGCAGCAGAATTGAACATTAGGTTACCTATTTGTACGTTTATGTGTTCTCGCCTTTTTTTTTGAAAAGCATAGTAGCTTCTCAATACTCGATTTATCGATTTTGATGACAATGACAATTATGATAATGTAGTTATATCATGTTTTCAATATAATAGGCATAGTTAGAAGCGCTTACTATTTGGCATTATAGAACTTTAACAATTATAACAATATCTCGTGCGGGAGCCGTATATTTACATACGATTGTAATATTGTATTGTATTGCATGTATTTATTTCTTCTCCTCGAATAAATGTCTTATCTTATCTTACCTGTCTCAAACGTGGCACGCCCAACAAAATATTGTCGTATATTTTTGTCTTCGGGACTTTTGGACGGTTCGATTCTGGCTCTAAATTCTCATACCATTTGTCCCAGTAAAAAGAGTTCAACATCACCTGATCTAAGTACTAGAAGGAAAAAAATATTTGAATTTCTACGATGTTTTGCATTATGGGTACCTGTGTACGCAAAAGTTCGTAACTCTAAAGCTTAATGCTAAATAGTCCAGAAGATTTGCTTTAATGAAGCTATGCAGATAATCTTAGCAAAATGTGAAATTGACTAAAGTCTTACCGCCCAAACGTCTCCAATCAAAAATATATCATGGAAAGTCATGTTAACCCCAGTACTACTATTAAACGGGGATTCGGTAAAAAAGTTTTGAAAATACATATGGTGATAGTAATTTGATGGACTTGCGGAACCCGCCACCACTAGAAATGCGAGAATTATTTTCTTGTTATTGACATATGTACGTACTTGTTGTAGTTATAATCAAAAATAGTAGATGTAGTACCAGTTCCCGTACATAAACCTTCTCGTACTCATCTTGTTCGTAAAGTTCGGCAAGTTCAGTAGTAACCCATAAATCTACAAAGATATAAGAATTCAGTAAATTCGATTGTACCTTTTAAGCAATGTTACTATTTGATATTACAACCCTCTTGGGCATAAACATCTTGGAAGCAGCTTGGTGAATAGTATAAATGTCAACTTAATTAATTTTTCAATTAATTAAAACAAAAGCTCAAGTGCTGCTAGATCAATAATAACTTAAATGTGACTAAACACGGAAAGAAAGAACAATGCGCGAGACCAATCAAAAATATATCATGGAAAGTCATGTTAACCCCAGTACTACTATTAAACGGGGATTCGGTAAAAAAGTTTTGAAAATACATATGGTGATAGTAATTTGATGGACTTGCGGAACCCGCCACCACTAGAAATGCGAGAATTATTTTCTTGTTATTGACATATGTACGTACTTGTTGTAGTTATAATCAAAAATAGTAGATGTAGTACCAGTTCCCGTACATAAACCTTCTCGTACTCATCTTGTTCGTAAAGTTCGGCAAGTTCAGTAGTAACCCATAAATCTACAAAGATATAAGAATTCAGTAAATTCGATTGTACCTTTTAAGCAATGTTACTATTTGATATTACAACCCTCTTGGGCATAAACATCTTGGAAGCAGCTTGGTGAATAGTATAAATGTCAACTTAATTAATTTTTCAATTAATTAAAACAAAAGCTCAAGTGCTGCTAGATCAATAATAACTTAAATGTGACTAAACACGGAAAGAAAGAACAATGCGCGAGACGGGTTATAGTATTTTACATTATTAGCCAGGTAAGTGAGTTTTTACTGGCGATAGGAGAAGTTGACTGGCGAGCCGTTAGGCGAGCCTGTCATCTCCTAGAGCCAGTAAAAACTATTACCTGGCGTATAATGTACAATATTTTATTTGTTACTCATTTGTAAACGTAAATAATTAGTTCTTAAATTAATCTTGAAGAAATGTCTAAAATATCATGTTATCCATGTAACAGAGACTTCGCATTAATTCTGGCCAATGAAATAACTAGATTACTAACTTGTAAAATTTTTACAGGTTTGCTGTCAGTTTTACAGGTCTGCTGTCAGTTTTACAAGTCAGTAGCGTTTAAACATGACGTTTACCCGTTTGCGTTTTGTCTTGTTAATCAACGTTTACAACTGAGTAACAAATACATTTAATAAGTGTCTGGGTACGATATGACGTATCTAATCGTTTTTTATTATTTAAACTTTAATGTTTCTGGATTGAAGAAAGTGTAAGAGTGGATGAAAGGAAGCCTGGAAGAGTGGAAGTGAGCAAGAGTGAAAGACTAGAAAAATGGGAGGATGGAAGAGTGAAAGAATTGAAGGGGAAAAAGAGAGAAGAGGGGGAAAGGGGCGAGGGGAAGAGAGGGAGAGTGGAAAATAGGAAGGTGGAGGAGGGGCAGAGAGAAAGAGTGGTAGAGTGGAACAGTGATAATGTGGAAGAGAAGGAGAGTGGAAGAGTGGAAGTGTGGAAAAGGGGAATAGGGAACAGGGGGAAGAGGGAAAGGGACATAAGAGCGAGAGGAAGATAGGGAACAAGGGAAAGAGGAAGAGAAGGAGAGTGGAAATTGCTACGGGGGTTCCTTCTGGATTTGAAGATTACCATCGGTTCCGCCCGGCAAGGCAAACCGTCTTCTTCTTAGGCTGCTCAATCGATAAAAATAAATGCTCCGGCTAACTCAAATCGGTGGGCTTTTAACTCTTTTGAAACTGCGTAACAAACCTTAACCTGCCGCCTACCAGTCTCCTGCCTCAACTCCTATTCCTCCCTTTCCTTCCCCTCGTTCTTCGTTAAAGACATAGGCACATTGAAACCAAATAGATAATATATTGAAATGATATTAGAGATACAAACAATTTACAGGGATCTAGCAGTTCTTCTCTCCTCCTTGTAAAAACAATAGCTTAACAATGACAACTAAACTAAATAAAAACTCCTACCAGGTGAGACTAATTTACTCAAGGGGTGGCCATCCTCTACAGTTTGAAAATTGCAACAACAGGTAATCGGTTTTTAATCCAGCATGGGCTGGGACTTATTTAAATAAACACAAAAATTTATCCTACTCTTTGGTAATCGTTCATTGGACTTTAATAAACAATCAAATCAAAAATTTTTTTACTATAGCTTAATTACCAAAAAGTGGAATTTTACAGAATGTTACAAATTTAATTAGACTAGTTGCCAAAGTTTTTACACAGCACGTGTATTTAATTTTATTTTATTAGTTTATTAGCTTTGACCGCCTGCGGGAGACGGATTTTTGAGTTAGCGGTACGGCAGAACACAAACTTTTATGATCACTATCCGACGGTAAACCGCGATGGTTCAAAGTATTATTTCACCAGCTCTTCTTGGGGCAAATATCTCTCCGAAACGCAGCGCTCCTTCGACAAATGACCGTACGGCACTAGTAGGAAATTCCACCTGGGGCGGATCCCGAAATTCTGCGCCTTGAGGACTAGGCAGCACTTTGACTTATATATCCTCGAGAAATCACAACGTATCCTAACGCGATTCACTGCATCCAAAGTAAACTGGGGTGAAGCTCAAGGGTTCGCCAAAATATCACCTGATTGGAACCTGGGTCTTCTTCGCCAAAAAATCAACGCGAAAAGAAAATAACACTTCGAAACGGGTGCAGAAAGCACGCAACTGCGAGCAACCGAAATAAACCGGTGGCTCAAACCGCCAAGTGTACCAAAACGATCGCTCAAGGTACGTGTTGACCGCTTGACGTACTAACTGCGAGTCTCTTTAAAACGCGATCACTAGGTACGTGTTGACCCCTCGACGTACTAAACGCGAGTCTCTTCTAAAACGCGATCACTCAAAGTACGTGTTGACCCCTCGACGTACTAACCGCGAGTCTCTTTAAAACGCGATCACTCAAAGTACGTATTGACCCCTCGACGTACTAACCGCGAGTCTTCTCAAAAACGATCCCCTTCTTCAGAATTGAAATGAAAAAACCACACCCAAATTACCATAAAACAAAAATGGCTCCCGCTAGAAATTCTCCCATTGGTTCAGATAAAGAAAACTTAACCCACTCTAACTTCGTCGTCAACCTCAAGGAACTGCTGACTAAACTGATCTCACGGTTTTCTGCTGATGACGTGAAAACTCCTTATCTCTTGACGGCTCGGTGCTACATCCGCTCCTATTCTCGGTCTAGACGGCGCCAAAGTTGATAAACGAACGACAAAAAACTCGCATGATGACGCCAATCAGCTTTGCACTCTTCCCACGACGAAATTAAATCTGAGCGAAATTAAATCTATTGGACCATAGTCTTGAGCGAACCGAAATGCCCAAACACAAAATTTCTAACCGGAACAAATAAGGAAATCTACAGGGTGACCTTCACTATCATGACAAGAAATTTCGAAATTTTTAATGAAATTTGGCGCGAAATCAAACCACTCGTTACAAAATTTGGAAGAAAAGTGGAAAAGAGGAAGGGTGGAAGTGTGGAAGAGTGAAAAAAGGGCAGAAAGGCAACGTGATAGAGTGGAAGTGTGGAAGAGAAGAAGAGTGGAAAAGGGGAATGGTGGAAGAAGGGAAGAGTAAAAGAGTGGAGGAGTAGAAGTGTGGACGAGGTGAAGGGTGGAAGAGAGGAAGAGTGCAAGAGTGGAAGGGTGAAAGAGCGATAGAATAGAAGATTAGAAGCCTTTCTGGGCACTTCAGTGTCATCGCTTTTGATTGTGCTTACACAACGCTCAACTGTTAGTAGCTACCGGGGCACATGTTCCAAACTCAGTGCCCTTCTTTAACTTGGCTGGGAATGAGTTCAACTTCTATTAAAGGGCACTATGTGTGCGTGTTCAGGGTTAGGCGAGTTAATTAATACACGCGAGATTGCCAAAAAAAACTTGATTTTATTCCACCAGTAAAACAGATATGTTCTTAACGTATATACAGTGTGAATACTACTTTTGTGCCGTCACTTAAACTGCAAGTGATTGCCATTTCAACAACTTCATTAACTTCATCAGTATCGCACCGTTTTGTTCGTTGCTGCTCTATTAGTCTTTTCACTATTTCTTCTATATTCTCGTTCTTTTCTTTTGTGTTAATGGTGTGAACGCGAGCATTACGACGAGATGTTTTCTTTGCAGCATCATACTCCCAAGCATTCGCCAAAGCCTTTTCCAATTTCTCATATCGCGCAAGTTTCAAAGTTTGTTGCGTTTCACGTCACCATCTATCAACGTCTATACGGCCAGTTGCTCTATAAAGCTTTCAGGATACGCCGATCTTATCAACCGGGCTATATCGACTAATAAGTTTTTGCAAAGTTTCGCCGATTTTTGCGTTCGGTTATTTGTTATAAATTTATTTATTTATTTTGCCTTCATTTTTAAGGGAGCGAGGTTTCAGCAAAGGCTGCTCTACCAACCCAACCCACTATACATTTACAAATATCCATGCCCGAACCCGGATTCGAACCAGGGATCCTTAGTTCCAACCGTAATACCATTTGCTCGAGGTCATTTTGCTGGTTGTCTTAACTCGAACTTTTGTCGTACCAATACCAATTAGTGGTTTCTTTGCGGGACGATTGTGGAAAAACAAGCAGATTTAGTGTTATCACAGATGACACGTCACTCTCTTCGCGGCCAATACCATAAATCGTTTTCGTAGTTTATCGATTTCATTTTCTACCGTATGAATCTTATCCTCGATCTTATCTTGGACACTCTGTATCTCATTTTTGGACACTCTGCATCTCATCAGACCTCTTATTTCTTGTTGGCTTGCTTCCACTTTAGCTTTCATGGCTTGTTGCCCAGCTTCGATTTTAGCTTCCATTACCTCTTGACCCGCTTTCATTTCCGCTTGACCAGCTTCTTATTTAGCTTCCATGGCTTGTTAGTCGGTTTCGATTTAGCTTCCATTGATTGTTGGCCAGCTACAAATTTAGCTCCCATGGTTTGTTCATCAGCTTCTATTTTAGCTTCTACGGCCTGTTGACCGGCTTTCATTTCTTGCATTAATTGCAGAAGTTTCTCATCTTTCTGGTCACTACTGGCATAAACTTTCACTAAATTGTTCACTAAACACTACCCGACACTTGACACCAGTGTAACGTAAAATTAATTACCTACGTGCTTTATTTATTTCAACTAATTAACAATAAATGTATAACAGTCTTGAAAGTGATTAATTTATAATAGTAAAATATTATTTACCGCTCACGAATACACAATTTACAACGGCGCGAACTATCTATCATTACTTACTTCGGCGTTGAAAGTGGAAGTGAACTGAAACTTTCTGAAACGCATTGTTTGTTTATGTAGCAAATCCCCCTCTTTCCCGAAAGCTCTTCCGAAAGAATCCGGACTATTCTGGAAGGTTCTAGAACAAACGCGTTGTATTTCTGGAAAAGATCACGTCACATCCACCTTCGTTCCTTATCGCTGATGACTAATCTCTTATGTCTATCTGGAATGTTCGATACACTACAATGTGCTACAAAAACGGCTCTAGCGTTTACAAAAATCAATTTCGTTTATAAAATTTTCTTTGCGTTTTAAGAAAAAAATGTATAACATACCCCAGCGCCCTTTTGTCCCGCGGGCAATCGTTCTCACACGCGGAAATTGTACGCGCCATTTTGTCTTTGCGCCTTTTTGCCTTCGCGTCCTATTGACCCGCGCCGGAATGGCCGACGCCCGATCGTCCTCTTACTTCCGCGTAGTAAATATTAACAAGTCGTTAATAGTTAACCACTATCAACAGTAAATCATTAGATCGATTTGTTCCGAAAGTATTTTGTTTCAAATTGTAAACATAGACGGCTTAAATTAAATGTCAAACATACTATCGTGTCCATGGCAACCATTTGTTACCTTACTTAAATCGCATATAAAATTGGCATTTTCCGTTTAGCAAAGACTCAAAATGGAAGAAGAAGAAGAAGAATCAGAGAGTAAGTATTACCGCAGACCCACTGTAGACTTGTCTTCTTACGCACTTTTCTAATAATATGCAGTTTTGTGGCCAGTATCAGAATTGGTCGAACTAGAACCTAAACCAATATACGCAAGAACGCTGGCCCGTGAGATGTTAATATTTATAGCTTTTTTTGCATTTGTTACCGCGGGTAAGTGAAGAAAATTTGTAACTTTAAATTAAAAAAAACCTTTTTATAGTTGCAGTTACTTCAATTGATCCAATTACTTACTACCAATATCGATTATTTGAGCAGCTTTTTGTGGAATCCAAAATACCGCCTTTAGATAAATACCCAAGGATTGGTTTAAGGGACGTGTATTCCATGTCGGATATTTGGAGAGTAAGTTTAATAATTTAGAAACGAAATAGTTTACCTGCATTGCGTATTTAGATAATATTTAGGTTATGTCACTTGCACTTCTCATGTCTCCCTTGCCCGCAAGTATCGATTTCGGGCCGTAACAACCACGACGCCCGGTTCACGACCGCAGTTGTTATGGTCGCAGTCTCGACTTCAGATATGACGTATTACTCCCGACCGCAACGAGCCCGCGGTGCTCGCTTATCGTACCTGGGTCATCGTGCGTGGGCGTTCTAATATTCTAACAGGACACTGGACAGGAGACATTTCACTGTCGGACACTGATCGGTTGACTACGCATGCGTTACAAATCTTTCGTTTGAGCTATGGAGAAAATCCTCATTATTATGATCCAGAACGTAACCTTATGGTGGTTTCCATAGCAATCATCAATTGAAGATGTGGTGGTATAATTAAAGACCCTTCAACGCTACCATTATTAAGTATGGCCTCAGCATTTGTGACAGAAATTCAAAAGTCGTCTTCAACATTATATTATTCTACTAACAAGAAGTAATATTCGTAAAACGAAAAAGTATGGGGTCCGTGAAGTTAGCAGCACATTGAAGGCACAAATGTCGAGACTAGCACATCTAAAAATCGAAATAATTTCCAAACGGTATGTTTTGCTGGCAAACTTTTTACGGCACAAACCGGCACAAACGAAGCACTAACCAACCCACCTAGTCTCGACATTTGTGCCTTCAATGTGCTGCTAACTTCACGGACCCAAAAGTATGTATCAATATTGGTAGTGAAAAATGAATATTTACTCCAACCTAATAAAGTGACCATTTATAGTCCGCATAGCGGGTCCACAATATCGTTGTAATTATGGGAATTCGCGGACGAAGTGTGCTCTTCTTCCTTTTACATTTACATAGCACTAATTCCCACTCATCATCAGAACTCGATGAATCATCACTTTCGGATTTTCTACGCATTACGATCACCTTATAACGGCATCCATGTTGGAAAACTGCTCACTCTCACACGTCAGATGTGACACCGACGTTCTCAAAAGCGTTCCACTTAAGGTTTCGCCCGCAACGCCTCTAAGCTAGTGGAACCACAAAACCGCGGTCGTGGTCGTAATCGCAACGGGCGGTAAGTGGAACGTATCCTTCAATGAACAACTACTATAGATGCTCGAATGCTTTTCTACTTTCTGTTATCTTCAAAAGTTCGTGCCAAAATTTAATCTGGATATACAGCGTTATTATAAATGATTCGGTGGGTTCCAAGATGTTATATTTGCTCAAGTGTGATTGATACATACGTTTGATACGTATACGTTCGATGTGTGCACCATTTGTCACACAACACACTTCCAAATCATAGTATATGTATAGTACAGTGCAATTAGACCCAAACCTCAACATCCAAAGTAAAAGTTTCCCTAGAAAGGCAAATTGTTCTATACAGCCCGCAGATTGTTTATTAATTTATTGGCTGGTTTTTTTCTTGGTCAGTTCTTTTTTTCCCCAACCTATTGTTATAGCTATTTGTACTCGGTGAACTACCATTTTCTAAATTTAATCTTGAAATGCGAATTATTTTGAGTAAATCTCCGTTTTTAAAGCATGTACTTGTTTTATTTATATCCCTTGCGTGATCCTCAGTCCGACAGGCAACACATATCTTGTAGCGACTCTTAGAACACAACGTAGTAAGTGCAGGTCCTAGGATTTTGTTATTCAGGTTCGATAGCTTTGTCGAGCATGTGCCATTGGGTTCAGTTAGTTTGGGAGAGAAAGTTTTAAATTTCAATCTTGAGTTGCGCAGTCTCTTGGGGGTTTGCCTGGGTACGTCACAAGTTGTTGCGTATTAATTTCCAAATACGATTTTTTCCGGCGGTCGGCCGATGTTTTGAAGTTTTTGTCGTTTCAATTTGAAGAAGTGTTGTTACAAGAGATAGTTTTCCGTTTCCTGTACCGTCAGTGAACAAGCGTGCTGTTTTGAACATAGAAGAGAAGTTTTTCGTCAATGTAAAAGTTTCTCTGTCCGCTCGTCTGTCCGAGGCCTTAACTACTCCTACAGTTTTCAAGATATTAAGTTCGTTCTTTTTGCATTCGGTAGCGTATAGCTCTAGCACCTGAGCCAAGGAAAATCTTGACACTGCGCCCAACTTCCTTATTTATTAATATATTTTGTTGAAATTTTAATCACAGATACTTCTGGTGAAGGCAAACATATCGCATATAGTAAAAATCAGTTGTACACATGCGCAGACTGCGCAATGGCAACTTTCTTATATTTCTTTGAAATTTTAACCAAAGTTTCTTTTAGTGTAAGCAAACGTATCGCATATTGTAAACATCAGACTAATGTGCGCAGGCGCAGGATGCGCAATATCAACTGTTATTTATCGAGATATCTTTTTGAAATTTTAATCACAGATGCTTCTGTTAAAGGCAAACATAATGATATTGCAAAATTAGATGTGCGCATGCGCAGTCAGTGCCAACTTCTTTATTCATCAAGATATTTCTTTGAAATTTTAACCATATATGCTTCTAGTAAAGAAAATCACAGCGCACATAGCTATGGCCTTTTGAGAAGTAGTGATCATTCATGGAAAATACGCTGAAGTTACTCGCCTTAGGGCGAAAATCTTTTTACTTGTTTTATTTTTGTATGGCTTTGTATTCTCATAATGCATGTGGTTTAACGAAATTTGTGTTCCATGCAATCTCTGAGAAATATGTGCCAATTTGCTTTTTTTTATTGTTCACTGTAAATTTCTCTTTTGTCAGGTTAATAGTTGGTCATTTCTATTTCAAGTCAGCTGGACAAGATGAAAATGAGGGCTTTGTTACAAGGGTGCATTTATTTTTTATGTGCCCGAATGAAAGGGTTACAGCAATATGAGAACTATTTTCTAACGATATAGGTAGTACCTATTGATGATTTTCCCTTATCTGAAAATGTCCACGGAAACCATTTTATATATCATTATCATTATCATTATTCTTTTTTTACCAGCCAAATGATAGGAAAATCGTATTAAATTAATCTTTTTTTAGTACTTGGAGTATGTGTTCTACGATGGGTTCCATTGGAAGTTTTATTATGACGAACGTTATAATACAAAAGAAATACCCGAGGACAGTCCAGATAGGAACGTCGCATTCGATAATAAGCTGTTGGGTGTACCACGACTGAGACAAGTAAGATTGTTTTATGCTTATTATTAGCAGTGTGTTAAACAAACTTACAGTGGCAGTTCCCAATTTTCATCTTTCGTTATCAAAGATTCGTAATTTTACAGAAAAGAACCACCGGGAATTTGTTTCTTTTTTTCTCGAATATTTTAGGTTTTTAGACATTACAAGCAGTACATTTTCTTTAGGTCAGTAGAGTTAGCCCCCAATATGAAGAAACGGTTTCCCGTATATGTATCTGTGTCGTTATGTACTAATAAAATGTTGAAGCGTGCTGAAACCAGTGGTGCAGCTTTAAATGTTTATTCCCAATTTAGACGAATGACCAAATATATAAATTAAACTTTTGGTCAAGACCATGTGATCAAACATAACCATAAATTGAGCAAACATTTACACCAAAAATGATAACGATTTCAAACAAAGTGAACGGCCACTTTCTGTACACGTCGTGCAGCATTAATGTTAAATCGTGTCAATTTTAAAAACAAACATTGAAAATTAGAAAATGTATACAAAACACAAGTCAGATTTAGAACTCAAGCTATTAGACTATTTCCATTTATTTCTGTATTTATTATCATTATTTAGTCTGTTGTGTTTAACACCGATATCTTTTTTAAGTTAAAGGTTCGTAAAGACTCATGCCTGATAAATTCCGCCTTCGCCATGGGTATAAAACAGTGCTTTGGATATTATTCCCATGTCACTGAAGAACGTAATAAGTTTGGAGACCAATCACAGTACGAAATTCAGTGCACATAAATAAACGAATTAAGTTTTTTTATTTACAGGTTTGTTTTCGTTGAGACACTCAAGAGCAACTCATATGTGGGAAAACTATATACATATCCGGGTTCTCGTGGTTACATAGTTAAGCTGGCAATTAGAGATATTAGTGACGATACACCAAACAGTATTCCTGTATTGAAGAAAAGTTTGTGGATAGGAAGAGGAACGCGCGTGGTGTTTGTGGAATTTCCAACCTATAATTCAAACACAAACCTATTTTGTGTAGTAAAGTACTACTCCGTGTTTTTGAGTACAAAATGTTAACATTTCTTATTTAGACTCGTTTTCGAAATTCCACCAACTGGCGGAGTAGTCACAAGTCACAGTTTTCGAGTAGTCAGGCTTTTACGCTATGTGACAATATCCGATTATGCACTGTTGGCGTGTGAAGTGATTGTCTTTCTATTTATACTAGCATACACAGTGTTTCTGGGAATTGAACTAAATCATCTTGGAGCATTGGCATTGACTCGGTTTTGGAGTTATATGAACATTCTGATTGTAGTGGTACGTCAATGTTATTCTTAGAGATTGCACCAATTATACAATTTTATAGATGGGGTATGTAATATTTGGACTAAAAATTGCGACGTACATGCAATTCAACACCGTGAAACCTAGTTTACTATCAACCGAGAATTATGTGAACTTAGAGGGCCCAGCTGCTATGCAGCTCTACCAAGACAACGCAGTGGCCTTTTTTGCATTTTTGGTTTATATAAAAGTATTTAAGTTTATGGTTATTAGTAAGACGCTAGGCCAACTCAACACTACAGTTCGTAAGGTACGTATAATGCTACGACAAAGACAAATAACGATTTAGAAGTTTAGACAGTCAAACAATGTTTTATCAACATGGTCTGTTACAAAAGCGAAAAGCGGACTGTAATTTTGATTAATCTTTTAGTGATAAAATAATAAAAAAATGACTTACCCCCAAATATTTTGTCTCTATGATCTTTACACAAATTAAAGGATCGGAAAGAAAGGATTTGTGTGAAATTGACGTATACAAGTATCACAATAATTAATACAAAATGAAATTGAACTTGATGCAGTTGGCGTGTGTAGCGTTGAACGAATATTCGGCAAGTGAGTTTTAAAACTGCACTCTGCGCTGCACCTAGAGATAATAAAATAGGCAAAGCGATAAAATAAATTTTAAATTTTATATTTAACAGTCTGTCTGTTAACTCCAACTTCGCGCTGTAGTGTCAACATTGATATTTTCAAAATTTCTTTTCACTGTAATGTTGTACTCATTTTGTGCTAATTTAATCTGCTGTTTTAAAATTTTGTGGGGTACGATATCGAATAATTCAAATTTTTTTGGATGTGACCATGGTGTATAATAAAGACAGGTGGTCGCACTGCTGCTTGGTTTAGGTAATACGGCTCGGAACTCCCAGAATTGGAGTGAGAGGTAGCCAAGAGAAATGCAGTAAACGTCCGCACGGCGAGTACTTCAGAATACGTTAAATTCGTTAACCTTTTATCTTTTTCGTCGAGTTACTAGATTAAAATGTATGTAACGTTACTGCCTCGGTTGTTGCTTACGAAAAAACGTTAGATGAACTTTTTCAATCCCATTTCGAATTTGTTGTTTTATTGTAATTCGCATAAAAGTGGGGTCCGTAAAAAGTTCGCCAGCAAAGCATACCGGTTTGGAAATTATTTTGATTTTTAGATGTTCTGCTAATAGGCCAGTCAGTGGGGATTTTTACCTGGAAACAACTCAAGACATTTTAAAATTTTATAGGTTTAGATGCGTAGAACAAAATTCATAAAATGCACAATTCAAACATGCTGCCGGCGCCGCGATCTTACCAAAATGGCCGCCAAGAACGGTTTTTCGCAGATATCTCCAAAACTGTGCATTTTTTAGAAAAAATATATGGTGAGCAAAATTAAAGAGAATAAAATTTCCTACAAAAAATGTAGTTGCATATTTTCATTAAAGTTAACCCTTAGGCAGAAAATCAAAAATTTTTAATAAACGGTGGTCTATATTTTATCCAAATAATTTGTTAATCAGTTAACTAATTAATCAAATTGATTAATCAATTAATCTTAGGTAATTAAAATTACATTCTATATCTACGCAGGCCTGACGGACCTGGTTTGCTAATGTCATTGTTTTTCAATGTTGAATTATGTTTATCCCTATTTCGGGATCACGGTCGACTATTTTGAATTCCTCGGATTCTCCTTCTTCAGTCGATAAAGGAATATCGAGCGGCAAGTTCATCTTCATCAGATTCGTTCAGTGTCACTTCATTGACATTTTCGCAGGTCTTTCCGTAGCAGATACCGCAAGCCATGGTGCATTTTAACCCTGCTTTTCTGCATCCGCAGGCGCAACTACAGTTGGTCTTGCGCTTGCGTGATAAAAAAGCAAGTAGTGCCTTAAGAGCAGGATCCTTCAAGGATGTTACTTAGGTAATGCCAATTTGGGATTTCATTGTCCTCAATCTGAATAATTCGAACAACTTGGCCAATTTGATGGGTCCGTGAAGTTGGCACATTGCCGGCATAAATTACGTTTGTGCCGGTTTGTACAATCAAAAATTTGCCGTCAAAATATACCGTTTGGGAGATATTTCGATCTGTAGATGTTGGCTATAACTTCGCACACTTTTGTCGGCACAAATTTCGGGGCTAGGTGGATTGGTTAGTGCTACGTTTGTGCCGGTTTGTGTCGTAAAAAGTTTGCCAGCAAACCATTGCTTTTGAAGGTTATCACAATTTTTAGATGTTCTGGAAACCTTCTGGACCCCCCCCCCCATTTTCTAAAGGTTAACTTGGCACCACTAAAGGTATCCGTATGCAAAATCTGAGACCAATTGGTTGCCCATCTCAGGAAATAATTCGTGGGGGGGGGGGGGGCAACCTTTTAGCCAGCAGCGAAATTTGATGGCCATCTGGCACACCTTCAAGGTATAGGCTACCTACTGCAAAAAATTCCAGGACTCTAGGACCATTCCCCTAGAAGTAGTTCGAAACGGTAGAAGTGGGTCCGAACGGACGGACAAAACGCAAACAATAGCAAATTTTTTTTATTCTTAAAAAATGCGCTAAAAAATTGGGTGATAGAGGCGATCAAGATAAGCACTTTTTCCAAATAAACCCAGAATCCAACGTGTTTCGTTTGGGAGCCACCCTCAAGAAAGTGGTGAAGTTTTCATTTCTTCTTTAATTTTTTTCTCATCAAAATTCGGAAAAAATTCTACTGAAATTCTTGGCTGGACAACGAAAATGAAGAGAATGTGATTTATTAAAAAAATCGTAGCACACGATTTACTTTTTAAAACAATTACAACTGTAACTCAACATCGGACAATCAAAGTACCATAAAATTAATTGCATAAATAAACACATTTGAGAACCAGATCGTGGAACAGGTTTAACAGGTTTTAATATGTCTCAGAATAATAAAAAATCGGTAGAGTTGCATTCAATTTACTTTTCATTTTTTAAGAACTAAGTATGTATTTGTTATTTTCATGCTCAAATATCCCCAGAAACGAAATTTCCTTTCAGTATTTTGTAACTTTGTTACTGAGTGACCAGGTGGTTCACACGGCAATATTACTTTTGAGTCACTTTCTGCTTCTGAGTACCTACTATTTTCCGACACCTGGTTTGGAGATTCTGTTATTATATCACCAATAAATATGTTTCGTCTAGCGGCTCCAATCGCTCTGTGTGAGTACCCCCTCCGACACTCCGTTCTCGAGATATAAGGAATAAACCGATTTCCATGGGTCAAGGAGGAAGGTGGTCATTGGTAAAAGTGAATTCCTTTTGTTAAAACCTTTTGTTGGAGTAGGCCCCATAAAGGATCGCTGGGGGAGAAGTGGGCGAATTCCGTTCGTTGAGACCTATCATTACAATACCATGAATGAACAACGGGTTCTTAATATCTCACCCTGTCCACCCACCGATCACGATAAGAGGACATGGTAGATGGCTATAGTTGGTAGAAGTTAATTCCTTTTGTTTTATTCTAAATGTATTATTTAGAAGTCTTAAGAATGTCTTATTCAAAATTCCATGTTTTTTTAAAATAAGCTCCATTTAAAAAATGTTGTTTTGTTAAATATTTCTATAATCCACTGTTTTTCCGATTTGACTATTACAATATTGAAAAAAATAAGTTTCATGATTGTCAACTTAACCACGTATGTCCAACAGTCCAATGATAAAAAAGGTGATAAAATAGGTGAAACACACTGTATAGTAGGATAGTAGGATACTTCATATTGGTAAACAGAACCGAAAGCGCAATGCTTTTATTATAAAAACGCCGACAAATATAAATGTAGGGTTGTACCTAGATTAATTTTTTTCTCGTTTTTAACTCTGTATGTTGTTAATTTTTGAATATTTACAGTGTATTTGGGATGTAATCACGTTTGTAATACTACTGCTAATTGTATTTATCATATTCGCCTTGTTTGGATACATGATATTCAATTCAGAGGTAAGTATGTAACCTATTTCGGAAGCTGTCTTATATATTTTGTAGGTCGCAGAATTTAGTAGTTATGGTGTGGCGATGTTTACACTATTTCGGGCTATTTTAGGGGACTTCGACTATAGTGTTATTGAAGCTGCCAATGCTTACGTCGCACCCATATATTTTGTTTTATTTATGTTAGTTGTGTTCTTCCTTGCTTTGGTACACGTTGCACATTTTTTTACGTTTGACGTTCTCGTTGATTTTTAGAATATGTTTTTGGCCATTATCAACGAAGCTTATTACCACGTCAAGCTAGATATAGCTGCTTGTCCAAAACATAAACGGATGCCTTGGTACCTCAAAGAAGCTTTTCGTGAACTTTTCTCCATGGCACCTTCAGAAGAGGATGATGGTGAATCCCCTTATCAAGCGGCAATTTCCGAAATTCGGGATACTCTGAATCGGTAGACTATTCCATTATGTCTCACAAATTTGACCATTTTTAATTTAGGTTAGGTTTTGATGACGTGGAAACCGAACTCTTTTTTTCGCGTTACAATATTGACCCAGCTGCACAACTTCCCAGTTATGATCCTTATAAATTACTCAAAGAATTTGAAGCCAAACTTCGAGATGGGAAAGGTAAAAATATAACATTTTTGAATAATCCATTAAAATCTACTATATATTTTAGCGGACACTAGGGCGGTGGAATCGATAACCCTAGAAGATGTTATTGCGTAAGTATGAGTATGATTGCTCCGTAGTGAAGCGGGGTCTCCAATTTTGTAGATTGTTAAACTGCTCTTGACGCTTGTATTATCTATTATCCGATCATATTTTCATCATTATCGTTTACATTCGTAAAACCATAGTGATTTAAGAGCTAGTCTTTCATGTATGTAGGTGCATAATTGCTATGGATTGACGCAGCTTATAGTTTTACCACAGATTGACTGTTTTACTAATAAAGAAAACTAAATGAGAGATTAACGCCATAAAAATATGTCTCGCTTTTCTAAGTGCGAAACTAGACGGGCATTTTTTCCTCGTCGGAATCAACGCAGCGTTGTACACGCTGGAATGAGATACACGCGCTTATATGGAATAAACTAGACGGGCGTTTTTTCCACGCTTCTCCGCTCTGGCTCCGCTAGCGTGAGCGGATTCAACGCAACCGGACCCGTTTTTCCGCTGCGATACGACTGTCCTGGCGTTTATTTGGCAGCGATACATTGTGAGAGACGTATTCTTTTCCGCAGCGATAATACCGCTCCCGTGTAGTTTCAATTGTAGCGGAAATTACGCTGCGTTGATTCCGCGGCGGAAAAAACGCCCGTCTAGTTTCGCACTAAGGTAGATAATATTAGCTGGCCATACACGGGGAGGTTGATCCGACGACGGTTTGAATTGCGACAGATAAATATTTCCTATGATGCGTCACTAATTCTGTTCCAGTGAAATCTAGCGCGCGTTTACCCACTAAACTTAATAACAAATCTGTACGTTTGAACCGCGCCATTCTAAACCGGCGCATCAACCTCTCTGTCAGCTATCAATAAGGCCCATACTGCTGCATTAATTTATTTGATTTCCTTCTTACACCCTCTGAGAAATTGACAATGCGATAACGATCGTCAGGGTCCGGTTTCTTAATATAAATTCACCTATTTTTCTGCATTCTGAGCTTATAAACGACCACTAAATTAATTATATTTCAGTCAACAGGAGAAGATGTTTGATTTGGAAAAAGTTATTGGTCTCTTGACAACTAAGGTAGATTTTCTACTAAAGAAGTTGGATACTCTCGAAAATGTTCGCAAAAAATAGCAAAGTATAAGATGGACATAACAGTTCTAATTGAAAGCTTATTGTGTTTCAATTCGCATTACTTTATTATTTGTTTCTCAATATACAATCATATGTATACTTATGTTTTTTTTGGCTATCGTAGACACGTCGTAGTAATTTGTGGCGAGAAATAAATCAGAGTCCATCATGACAACATTGCTTCACCATCTTTACTCACATCTGATCAAAAGACGAAACTATATAGAACTCAAATAATATATATGTTACCGGCAAACTGCGAAATCCGGCATTTTGCAAAATCCCTAGGCATTTTGCGAAATAACCAATGCAGCAGGCAAAGTGAGAAATGGAACTCGACTTCGCACTTCACCTGCCTCTCTTTAGGGATTTCGCGAAATGCCTAAACATTCAGGCAAAGTGAGAATTCTCGGTTATTTTCCACAGATTGCGCGTACAGCTGTGCCAAACGTAAAACCGTCGCGGTAGTACCTTCCCCCATTTGATATATTCTCCACAGTAAACTCAAAGTGTGACTCAACAGAAAACTCGTGTACGAAATGCAGTCTAAACGTGAGCCCAATATTTAGCGAGTACTTAAATTAAATCGCAATCGTCGCGTCGTTTACCATCCAATGGCAACGCTGTATGCGCAATCTGTGGGAAATGACGAAGCCTTCGCACTTTGCCTGCATGTTTAGGCATTTCGCGAAATCCCTAAAGAGAGGCAGGCAAAGTGCGAACTGCAGCTCCGTTTCTTACTTTGCCTGCTGCATTCGTCATTTCGCGAAATGCCTAGGCATTTTGCAAAATGCCGGATTTCGCAGTTTGCCGGTAACATATATACTGCATTCATTATAAGAAGGTAGTAGATGGCGCTGTGCTTGAAGATAAGCACACACAGGAAAAATATAAAACGGCACCAAATTATTGCAAAGTAGAAATATCGAATACTGCAAACAGAAATAAATCTTTGACATTAACAATTAATGACACTTCAAGGGTTTAGTCGGCAATAGAAACTTCCAGCTCCCAACATTCGCCACTCGTTTTATGTTTCAGCGTAATCTGACTCGTGTTTTAACCAATCACACTGAAGATCAAAGATTCCCTATGCTTTTTACCGCTACCTTCTTAAAATGAATACAGTATACCTAGATACGATAGAACTGTACCGGTGTATCTAGTGGAGAGGATGGAGAACCTGCCGCGACTGAAAGCCATCTCTGGAAAAGTTAAAAATACATTGAGTTCTTACATTGTGTCTTGTAGGATTTAAAGTTCAAATTTTAATGATCGTCGTTTACCAGTTCTTTTATTTGGAGTAGCGCAGAGACAAGAATATGATAGTAGAAAACTGACATTAACCTTTATTAACATTTTGGAAATTATCTCTTTGTTAATTACAATCTACCTCCACTAAACATTTAACAATAAATGCGCTATGCAAGAAACTTTCTCCATCGGCAATTACAAAGTGTACAGTCATTCTAAAATAATTACCTCAACTGTGGTCAAAGACCCGAAAAGATGCTGCATGGAAGGAGAGATTTGATGATTGGTTTCTACAGCAGAGTCAAGAGTCAGGTGTTTGTTCAATGTTCTGTAATAATTACTCAACGAGCCGTTTACATTGTTTCCATCTGCTTTTCGTGACTTAATCTTAGCATAACCTACGCACCACGCGACGTAGGTATCGGACAAATTTCCTGCAAAATGTTACGACGACTACGGATAAAAATGTACATTAAAATTAGAACACTGCATCGACTTATGTATCGGTATCGTTGCTGTTATGTAATATGCCTTGACGTTTGCTATGTTTATGTTACGCTATGTGAAAAATTGCGCGTGTGTTATTGTTGTCTAATACTACGGAAGCGCTAAAGGGTCACAAGATTTTCTTTAAAAAAAATCCGTTTTCGTGACTTTTATTTCAAGATCTGGAGATTAATCTCAAGATCTTGCCTTTTTTCTCAAGATTTTGACTATTATCTCAAGATCTTTAGATCTATCATGAAGTTTATCTCAAGATCTTGCCTTTTATTTTAAGATCTTGAGGTTTATCTTAAGATCTTGAGGTTTATCTTAAGATCTTGAGGTTTATCTTAAGATCTTGCCTTTCATCTTAAGATCTTGAGTATTGTCTCAAGATCTTGACTTATGATATTGAGTTTTTATCTCAAGACCATGACTTCTAAATTTTTAATTTATATAGGTACTGTTAGTAGGCACTGATGAGAACCATGTTGTGTGTGTGTATCTACAATAAGATAAGAATAACTAATAACTGTCCTAGATCCGAACGAATTCTTCTAGGACAGCCGTTTATTTTCTGAACTGTATTCATGAAATAGCCACCAATTACTTTTGGATCACTGGCTGTTCTTCCAGCATGCAGCCAAATTATTTTTCTTGAAAATCCATCAATAGCTCCATTGATCGCAATGCCGTACGGTTTCAGCTTGTCATATGAGTCGACATGCCATAAATCATTAGGACCACTTACAGCGTATTTTCTTCTGCGCAAAACTCTTCGTTTCCTGAGTTCAACTCCAATGGGATCAATTATGAGCAATATATTTCGCGAAATGCCTAAACATGCAGGCAAAGTGCGAAGGCTTCGTCATTTCCCACAGAATGCGCATACAGCGTTGCCATTGGATGGTAAACGGCGCGACGATTGCGATTTAATTTAAGTACTCGCTAAATATTGTGCTCACGTTTAGACTGCATTTCTTCTATGGGTTTTCTGTTGAGTCACGCTTTGGATTTACTATGGAGAATATATCAAATGGGGGAAGGTACTAACGCGACGGTTTTACGTTTGGGACAGCTGTACTTCTCGGTTATTTTCCACAGATTGCGCATCTGTGGAAAATAACCGAGAATTCTCACTTTGCCTGAATGTTTAGGCATTCCGCGAAATCCCTAAAGAGAGGCAGACGAAGTGCGAAGTCGAATTCCATTTCTCACTTTACCTGTTGCATTGGTCATTTCGCAAAATGCTTAGGGATTTTGTAAAATGCCCGATTTCACAGTTTGCCGGTAACATATATACTATTTTTTTCACTACTAGCACTTGAAGTTCTCTAAATTAACATATTATATTGATAAGAAAGTGAACGGTTCGACAGAATTGTTTGTTTCTTAATTTAACAAGTCAATCAAGTACGTAGAAGTACAAGTCAAACAGGCCGTATTTTGTTCTGTCATTGAGATATTTTCAAAGAGTAATTTCTTTCGAATTTTTTCAAAATGTGTGTGTTTAGGTATATAATTTCTCTGGACATGGCGGATGGTAGCAATTATTCATTTTAGAGACCTTATCCAAACGTTTATTGAGCGAAATTTCGGATTGTGTTTTCTAAAAGTGACAGCGTGGCAGTTCTCATTATTGACTACTAGTTAATAATGTCCACATTATTAACCACTTTGAACAAATGCCGAGAAAGCCTACTTTACAAGTGGAAAAAAGGTTAATAATCATGTCATCAGACGCTAATAGTGAAAAAATATAAATATAAACCGCACAAGTACCTAATGTTGCTGAGTTTGTTCTCGGATTGAAACAACCATACGTGCAGGAACAGATTGTTCTGTTCTACAAGAGGATCAGTTTATAGGATTATCCGTGGCAAGATTAAAGTGTTTACTACAGCGCGCAACTTTGACATGTTGAAAACGTTATGTCTGAAATCATTACAAGCCCCGGTATATTAAAATATGTATAAGAAGATTAAATATTTAATTTACACTTATACACTAACTTCATTGCTGACTAACTCAAGCAGTCACAATGAAGGCGCCGCCGACGGTTTATTAAATTACCACACCATGAAACTCAGTCGATGAGACAGTCAATTAAGGGTATATCGATCCATTGGAAAACGCATTCATAATATAACTTAATGAAGTAATTTGGTGCGTAGGCTTTTCACTTTCATTTTATTTGACTCTAACCCTTTAAGCACTGTAAATTTACAAGCCTAAGTTTGCTTTTAATCACATGTTTTAGGTAGGTACTTAATTAAAATCCAAAAATTTTAATTTGAATTCAATGAAAGGAATACGTAACCTTTCAAGCCAAATTTGATTAGTACTTTACATACAATGCGCAGTTGAATTCAGTTAGACATTTAATAATGTATTGAGTTTGCACAGCTCTTTATTTATTGTTCAATTTCTTCGGAGGGCAAGCCGCCGATTATTTGCTTGGTAGAGTGTGATTGATTTACCGACGTCTATATAAATACAACTGCTTCCAAGTAACTAAAACAAAAGCATACATTTTTTTTCTGTAACCCTTCACTGATACTTAGTAATGTTCAATTATTTTGCTGCGTATACGTATAATTCAGGAAAACATTTAGTTAAGTGTGTTAAATTCTACTTGGATGAGCGAAATTGCTTCGACTCAAATTGTATTCATCATGGGATTGAGAAATTGAATGGAGAGGTTGGACAATACAATAATGAGTTTTGGAAAACATTTTGTCCGAGTGTAAAGTAATTTCATGTCGCCAATTCGTTATTTGTATCAGTTGACACTGGTTACCTATCTCAGGCCTATGTTATTTTTTAAGTTATAGGTACTCGTACACGGTTTCTCAGGCCTATCACACAATTAAAAAAAACTTGTGTAATTAACTAATTATGCGCTTTAGGTATATGCCTTGGTATTCATTACATATTACCTACATATACCACTAAAGTGTACGTATTAATCCTGAGAGTGCAGTTTGTGACCCGAAACGAAGTTGAAGTCAACAAACACCAAATTCAAAAAAACGTATGGGAAACGTTAAAAATATGATGTGGGGACCAGAATGTACATTTTAATGTAACCATTACATTTAATTCTAAAATTATGTTTAGACATTTTCGTCTTTCATTGCATTTTAATCCATTCGGAAGGAAAAGGTGACACTTTAGACCCGTAAATGAAAAACAAAACAAAAAAGCCAGCGCAGGGCCAGGCAGAGCTAAGCCCTGTCTAGATGATTACTCGCTCTTCCTGGATAACAACTATCCCACATAGCATTCGATATCTTATGTATATACATTTTAAATTCATAATGTACAGGGAATATCCTGTCCATCTAAGTATATACTATG